ACTCGATACGAACCTGGAAGGACGGACGAAGGCGAATTTAGGCAAAGTTCGAATGTCCAGTTACCCAGGCGATTTGCTAGCGCTTCCAAGGGTGGGAAATGCGTTCGATATTCTTACATTTATATTACCAAACATTATCGTATAAAAATCGTGCATTATTTGCGTAATAACGATACGACCCGGGACTATTTTCAATCGAAAATTAAGTAGACATATTTGCAAAAATTGTTTGCCAATACCCGAAGCGGTGGTTAAATATGGCTACGGGACGCGATAATTGTAAGAAACATTTTTTATCGTTGTTTTAATGTAAGAAACGCCGGATCCTAAAATAAAAGGTCGACGTTTGATCAATTTTAACTTTGTTTTAATGTTTTCAATAATCTATTTATGGTGTTTATGAAGAATTTATTCTATCTTCAAAGCCAACTTATTGCTACTTCCGTGTTGGACGAAGAAAAAAGGATTAGAGAAAAATACTTTAAAATGCGTCTACTTAATTTTCGAACATTATCGTGTTTTTTAAGGAGAAACTCGTAAGTAAGGTGTCTGTGTAAAAATTTAACTTTTCATTTTTAACTACATTAATAGTAATCACGAATAAAGCATTCGTAACTCGTAATTATCACCAGAAAATACCACAGAACGGGTTTCGGCCATTGGCGCGGTTTACCGCAGCGGCATAATTTATAACTAATGCTGGCTTAGGGCCTAAAGTCTAAACGCTTGTTTTGGCGAGAAAAACAGTCGCTTCGGTCCGAATTATTGCGCCGTATAGTATATTAAAGGATTTGAAAGGTAAGTAAATCTAACGTCTTGTTTTTCGCCGTACCTGATCTTTATTTACGAACCCAGTAAAGTGTTACACTAGGACACATTTCTGTAGATTTGGATGCTTGGAAAAGGTCGGTGGCCGAGGTATCCTATAATAGGAAACGCTTTGGACGACTTTTAAGTTATTGAATTTATACATTCTGGCGCAAATCCGTTTTTACGGCGGTTAGAGGGCGAGCTAATATTCGGTTGTTTCCGGCTTTTGATTTTTGGGAAAGTGGAAACGACGACTTTCAATTTTCAGAGAAAATCGAGTTTATTATCGAAATTTTTGGACAAACGCCTTACTTATAAATGACAAGGGCACGCGCTTACCAACAACGAGCGACCGGGAAGCGGTCGAAACCAATAGTAAGGGACCCGGGTTCGAATCCGGACGGGTCGATAAATTCTCGGAAATTTTTCGGGGGTGATCCGTCCGGATATGTCGGGTCCCGTCCCAACCCGTAAGAGGCTCTCTTAGTGCCTACGGGACGGAAAGAGTTAACTCTTTCCACCCTGTAGGTACCAAGAGGTCCTCTTTTAACAGGCCCATTATGGGTTCGTCCGGGTCCATAATGAAGCGAGCGGATGGAAAGGGACAGAGCCCGACATATCCGATCTGCCCCCGAAAGATTCCTGGGGTTTCCTTGACCCATCCAGTTTCGATCCCGGGTCCCCCAGGACGGTAGGCTGCCACTTTGACCGCTCGGCCATCCGGCCACCGTGATATATTAAAAAAAATTCTATTTTAAATTTAATTCCAATCTGAAAAATGGTTGATGATAATAGTTGATACCCTAGTGTTCAACTATTATTAACAACCACTTGTACGCAATTTTAAATGTTCTGGAGCTTTAACTGACAAATCTAACGGGCAATTGGAAAAATTCAAAGAATTACCATCCCGCGTTAGGGCTATTTCACACTATGACCGACTGGCCCGACTCCGAGTCGTGTTGCCACGGCAACAGCAGTCTGCCGACCGACTAGTCGTTCCAGTCGGACAGATTTGAAAAGTTAAATATTTGTAGTCGGTGAGCTACAGCCAATGAGAGCTTCGAAGCTATAACCAATCAGAGTTTAGATTTATCCAATCTTCGTCGAAGTTAGAAAATGGCGGAAAGTATAGATTTCTCGGAAGCTTTAATAAACCAAGTCAGAACGTATCCGTGGCTATATGATATTCGGCCAGCCGATTATAAAGACAACATAAAAAAAAAATAATAATTCTTGAACGGAGATTTTCAAGAAACTAAACGTTGAAGGTACGCGATTGACTAATCTAATAATCTAATAATGACGCCATATCTAAATGCACGATCGCTTTCCATGACGGCCATGTTTTCTGTTTAATTTAAAAAACTTACCACGATTGGCTAGTGTATCGATCTATAACTCGCGTTCTGATTGGTCCTTATGAGTCGGCCTCCGACATATAATCGTACTTAGTGCGAATGCTTTTACTACTAGTCAGTCCAATTATAAAATCGGTCGGGTCGGACCAGTCGGTCATAGTGTGAAACAGCCCTTAGTCGCTATTTTCCACTAGGAATCTCAACTTTTACCCTGAATTATATGCACATAATTCTTAATCAGAAATCTTTCAGCAAAATGTAATTCACATATTTGCTATTTTCTTGCGAGTTGTAAATAATTTCGAGGAATTATACATTATACGTTCCCATTTATCTAATTGGTTCGGAAGTGGTGTAAAAAACTGTTATTTCTCACCAGATTTGCAGTAGCCAGACTTAGCCTACTCCTAGTCACAAAACAACTTGTTCGACACGTCGTTGTTTCTTTTCCTAGTAGAAAAAAATTATAAATACACTCGAAAATGGCAAAACTACCTACTAACCAAAGTTAAACCTTCTTCTGGTGGCCGCAAAACGACTCGATCGCCAACTATCGACATTAACACGCATTAACTTTAATTCATAACATAGCTCGGAGACCAGTATATCTATCGACTCTGGTTAAATGACTATAAAAACAACTGTCGATATAATAGGATGGCGAGGGGCTATCGGCGGAAATGTCGAGAAACGCCGCTCCGGTGTATAATAGCGTCGCACGAATAAAACAGCCGACGGGGGGAAGGCCGGATTTAAAACTTAATTCAAAACATCCAAATGTTCCAAAACGGAGATTTTTAAACCGATCTTAAAAATATTTTAAACGTATAATAAGAAATTCGCCTAATTTCTTTCTAAAGTAAATGCCAAACATTAGTATCGTTAAGTAAAGGTTTCTAATTCGCATAGCGAGACCGGCGATCTTTATCGGGAATAAAGCCAATTGTTTAAATCTCGATCTCCGCTTAGTGCGGATAATTAAGAAAGAGGCGACGTTCGTTTGATCTCGGTCTGGCTATTGGAAGAAGAAACCTTTATTTACAGTTATATCCGTTTCGTGTCGATAATTTTGTTAAATGCCTTACGAATACAGTAACATCGTTTTTACTATAAAATTGGATTATTTCTTATCTGGCAACAGTTAACGTCGGCCGGTCTCGGGAGGCCGAAACTGTGAGGTAAGTTTAATTTTTTTGACGCCGGTCGTTTTACATTTTAAACGAGAAGAGCGAATTATTTCTGCGGTAAACGAATTCCACGGTCGACGGCCATTTCCATAGGTCCGTAAACAATACGGAAATTCATATTGTTGCCGGCAAACGGAAGCTAGAAAGAGCCGTGCCACCTTAGTTTCGGCAGAAGCCGCGATGCTTTCGTTTGCGCCGGATGCGGGATCCGACAAGGTGGAAAAATGATTTGTATTAATTTTGAAGAGTGTCTTTCCGGGTCCGTTAGAAACACAATTGTCTCCTCTATCGAAATCCACCTTTCCGATCTGCGGAAGGTGGCAACGCATCGCTTCGAAATGTGACGTTTGGTATGGCAAATCGTTGCATTTTCTCCACGGTTGGTGGCGTGTTATTCTCCCGTCTTTATTCGCCGGGGTGGCCTTGCCCGCTGCCGCCTCGAGCGAATCGTCCAATTTGAAAACTGTCCGAGTGCCTATTTTCATACGTGGGTGTTCGGACTTTGTTCTTATTAGTCTGTTGTTTATTCCAACGATTCTTGCTCGGTGATGCGTCGGTGGCGTCGACCCGCACTCTAACTTTTTATTCCCGTTGTGCTTGGATCTTCTCTCGTTATTAAACCTTCCTTACAAACAAAAAATGTGTTGTGCGGTGTCGAAGGTGGTCGGTTCTCGTAAAGTGCGGACGGAAAAACGAATTAGAGCGAAGAAGAGCCGGAGTGGCTTCGATCGGGTGTGCGGAAGAAGGTTGCCGGTCGTCTCCAATTTGTGTCGGTCCGGCGTTTCGTCCGAGACGCGTTCTTTGCCAGAGGTTCTCTGGGCCTAATTTGCTGCTGCTCCACCGGCAGCGGTTTCGGGCGTCCGGAAGTCCATCCGGGGGCACGGGCCGGTCCGGGAAAGCGAACGTTTGTTTGCACTTTGGCTCGCCGTCGTCGAACGGTGTACTGTACGGTCCGCGGAACGTGTTGTTTTATGGCGGAGTTTGGTCCGATCGGAACGGAAATAACTTTGCGTTAAACGAAATGGAAATAAAACCGACGACGAACCCGAGGACGGAGTCGACGGTTTGTGTGTTACGTGTGTAGAAAAGAGTGGAATGATTGTTGGGTTAAATTTTCTGTCTCGGGAACTACGAAACGTTTGCACATAATATTTTGCATGTATTAGTTCGAAACCCTAAGATATCTTAATCTTACTAAAAACTTAGACTGACGAGGGAAGGCCGTGCGTGCACTTTTTAACGATACTACTATCAACAGTATTTGTATAGATTATAAATAGGTAATGATTGGTAATTGTGTAACTATTATGGTGTAGGCCTTGGTGTCTTTTATGAGCGGGTAAAGTCATTTGCACAAATAAACAATATACAAACACAAAATTTGAAAAGTAATTAATTAATAATAGAATGAGTAGCTAACAGAAATTATTAGTAATCTTGAATACCGGTGCAAGTTTCATTTTTCGTGTCCTTAAGGAAAAGATAAAAACCCGGGAATTAAACATTTTTTGTATTTGTGTTACGTGTCATTTTTAAAGTTTCTAGATAGACACATTTTAATAATGACGGTATAATTTTAAATATAAGTAAAGAATCGTCTAAAAAATACTGTTATTTGCTCACAATGTTTCCTTATATTTAGGAAGAGAGACTACGCGAGAAGTGGTTACGAGACGAATGATAACCGACCGAGAATGCCGGTCGGCCTTTGGATTTCTCCCGCAATGTTATACAACGGTCACGTCGTTGTCGTCGTACGAGGTTATCGTCTTTACTATTTGTAGTTATATATATCTTAATATGCATATACTATATATAAAAATTACTTTATTAATGAACAGATGTAGTTTATATTACACTTAACTTGGTACCGCATTAAAAAACATAGCGACTAAAATGTTTATTGAAGAAGAAATGTTTTTGGACTAATTTAGTCCAGCATCCGCTCTCCAATTAGAACTTGGATACAATTCAGAAACTAGAATACAAAATTAACAGCTAACAGTAGAATAATATACAGTACATTCAGGTTAATTGGGACTGCCATTTATATGGGACACATATTGAAAGACAGAAACCAAAGAAATAAGCCAAATTTATTTTGCTTATTTGGGACATTCTACTGCTTTGTTGGGACATCATATGCTGCAAACAGGAGTATGTGTTAATGGGCCAATGTTAAAAACCAAATCAGAAGAGTTAGCTACAAAGATGGGTCACACAAATTTCAAGGCTACAGATAGGTGGTTGTTATGATGGAAAACTCTACATGAAATAAAATTTAAGAGGGTACACAGTGAAAAAGTGCTGATACTTCAAGTGCCAAAGAGTGAAGATCAACTGAGTTGCCTGAATAGCTGCAAAAATTCAGTCCTGATCAAATCTACACAATACAGATGAAACAATGCTGTTTTATCATGCCATCCCAGATGGTTCTCTGAGTTACAAACATAGAAGTACTGTCAGGTTCAAAAAAAGGCAATGGATCACATTACCATAGTGTGCTGCTGTAATATGTCAGGAAGTGATAAACAGAAGTTATTAGTTATTGGAAACACACTAAGCCTCAGTGCTTAAAAGTTCATAGAATGGACTGTTTATGCTGTTTATGCTGCCATTTGAATATTATGCCAACAAGAATGAATGGGTGAGTTTGAATATTTTTCTGAAATGGCTTATAACTTGGGATTCAGAACTGCTGAAAAAATCAACAGCTATACTATTTTTGGACAACTCTGCTACTCATTTTCACTTAATGTGTTTGAAACATTCATCTGTAGTTTCTTCCAGCTAATACCACGTCCTTGATACAACTATTGGATATGGTAATAATAATAAATTTGAAAAAGTTGTATCACGGAAGGTTGATACAATATATACTTCAAGGAATATAAGAAATTGTCTAAAAATATCTTATCATCTAAGAATAAATTTAAAAAATTTAAAACGATGGAGTCAGAATATTCTAATCTTACTTAATTGTACTGTACACAAAACATTTTTCTTGTACTCGGTTACAGTACAATTAAGTAAGATCTTATCATCTACCACAGCACTTAACAAAATTAGTTCCAAAATTACTGTTTTACAAGCTGTACATTATGCTGTTGGTAGTTGAAGAAAAGTGAGCTGTAGCAAAATTCAGAAATGCTTTTCTCATTATGCTCTTAAGATTTCAAAATACGAAATGTCACACACACTGATAACTATAGTGAAACTGCTTATGAGCTACAAAATGTTAGAAACCATGAAGAATCTGTATGTTAATAAAAGAGAGTTTCAGTTTGTTTGATTTAGTTTAACTAAATGGCTGGGGCTAAAAATATGGTTCAAATATCAAATTAAAGCTCTTAACCTGTAGATAATGCTACCAAAGAGAGATTTGAGAAAAGTGCAATGGTTCAGGTGTGTCAGTGTGGCAAAGGTATGAAAAGTCTACAGGACAAACATGTCTGGCAATTGTAAAACCTCTTGCACCACTACAGCTCTTCTCACAACCTATACTTTGGGAACCATGGATATAGTATATAAAGAAACAAGTAAATTATTTTGAACAAAAAGAGAAAAATTATGACCAACAACTAAACAGAATAACTAACTCTCTCAAACCACAAGAAAAGCATTAAAGAATTGCCAATGAAGAGTAAATTAAGTGTGATTTGTTTCACTATTTAGAAACAACTTTTTTCTACAAAATAAATTTATTTCAAATAAAAAGCACAAAACAAATGTTTTTTATAGTATAAAATAGCAAATATAATTAAAAGCATACTCAAGAAACAACTGAACAAATAACAGCAGTGAGACAATTCCGATCCTTCTTGCATGCCATTCTCTCACCTAAAACAAATTTTAATTCTTCAACTACTGGGAAGAAGTATGAACCATTCTCTACCACTAAAGTCTAGCCTAAGGGGTAAAAACAATTCTGTATCCAGGTGCATAGCAAAAAGAAATTTTCAGTATTTAAAGAGTGAACATAACAATATTGTTCATTGTTCTTTTAATTGTTATAAATAGTCAGGTCTAGCCTCAACAATTTTATAATGATAATTTAATGACAAAATAAATTTGTTTTATGGTACATTTTAGTTGTTTCAATATTAACTTCTCTTTCTGGAAGTTGGAGATCACATGATTTATGGTGTTCTCTGGAAAAGCAGACTGCAGATGGTAAGATGCTTTTGAATTTTGTTTGGTCAGGAGTGTGAAGTAGTCGTCTTAAACTAAACATAAATAAGTAATCAAGAATGGAAAGAAATTGAGTTTCTCTCATAAGTTAATGATACGGGAGTAATCATTTTATACCTTTCAGTTTTTAATTAATGAATTAACAATTAGTTGTTATTGATTAATTAATTAAATATAAATTTTTAAATAAATCATTGTTAATATATTACAGGGTCAAATAAATCCAGCTATTGTATTTCTTGTGTTTAGTTTCTTACTAGTTTGACTACAATGTACAATGTAATAACTTGGCATTATTAAAAACAAATGATCATCATGATAAGGATATTGTAAATGGAACAAATTTAAATCAATGGTTTTGTTGGATGAAATTTGTATTAAACATTGGAATATATCAAAAAATTACATTAGAACTAATTACTGGGCTTGAAATGCAGGATCTTGGAACAAAAAAAAATGATATTTTGACCAATAAAAATACAACAAAACTGACATATCTTGCACTAAACTGTAGATTTACAGAGAATTGGAGGACATGAACATAATTAAATGGATTCCAAAAATTTTGTATCCACTGGAGCTCATTACAATATTGACATGTAAAACTTAACATTTCTACTTATTGCTAAAATAATATAAATTTGTCTACTACTGTTGTAATACAGGGTTTGTCCAATAAGTATCTGGACTAAAATCATAAAAAGAAATTCGTTGATAATATATGTACAGTGAATAATTTTCAAAATATAAACTTCCTGCATCAATACACCACTGCCAGTGTTTTTTCAGCCTTCGTACGCCCCCTGGAAGTCAGCAATTGCAAGGCTGTTCAAGCACCCCGCCAAAGCCACTTGGACGGCCTCAATTGTCCAGAAATGACATTCTTTATGCTCCTTTTGATCTGAGAGAACAAAAAGAAGTTAGGGGGAGTCACATTTGGACTGTAGGTGGTTGGGGCAGTGTTGACACATTGTATTTGGCCAGTACCTCCCTCACAATTTGCAGTGTGTGATTGGGTGCATTATTGTGATGGAGCATCCAGGTATCAACGATCTCCCTTTGGACGCTATGAATCCTAATCCTCAAACAAACATATAACCAGTGATCAGAGTTCAAAAGTTCTTGCACTTCGGCAACATTTTCATCGGTTTCTGTCACTGTCAGACGTCCAGCACGTCTTCATCTTCGACGTCTTTCCAGCTATCTTTGAATTGTTTACGTCACTGAAAAACACACGTTCTGGACATGGCTTCGTCCTTGTAAGTCTCACGGATTATATCAAAAGTCTCCATAGCGGATTTGTTGAATTTAATGTAAAATTTGATGGCAAAATGCTGCTCAATTGTTCACTGCATCTTGACTCTCGATGTGAGTACTAAACGTATTTTCACTTTAGGCACAATCTACACACTCCAAAGGCTCAGAAACATCTGAGCCTGGTCTGGTAGCTTACGTGACATCCCCATCATCAATTCTGCTAATAGAGACCGCCCTGCACCCCTTCCAATTGGCAGGAAAAACCAGTCTCGATACTTATCGGACAAACCCTGTATTTTTGTTTACTCTTACTGCTTAACGTACTTCTTAACATCTGTAAAATGATTTTAGTTTGTAAATCATCTGTGATTCAGAAAAAAATTTTTAAATATATTTGGTGCATAATAATAATAATAATAATGCTTTAAAATTAGAAAAATGTTTAGTTCAAAACACTCTATCTCATGTTGCATTTAAATGATGATAGTAATTGGAGAAGCCTCAAATATTTAAGTGGAAGATAGAAGAGTTTTTAAGTTTTAGTTAAGATTTTATTTAGATTGTGTCTAAATTTTTTCTTATTTTTAAAAAGTTTATCTAATTATGAAGTGAAAAAATATAGATTAAATATCTATCAACTAATAAACTATGTAAATTAAATAAATTGTGTAAAATTATATTTTAATTTACTAAAATCAGTTTGGATGTTTTCAGTTGTTTCGTGTAAATCATTGCCCAGAAATTGCATATCTAATAAAAGTGAATGATTTTGGCTAAATACCACAAGGTATGTACATTAACCTCATAGAATTTTAATTATATTTTGACTATTTTCATTATTAAATTTTTATGATTATTGCAGCTGTAATTTTATAAATGTTTGAAACTGGCAATAATATTTATTTATACTAATATTTAACAAAAGATGATGATTATTTATATATTTTATCAGGATTAAAAGTTCAAGAAGTGATCAATTTGTGTTGCATGTCGGTTTATAGAATGCAATACAAGTTGAATGTTTGCTCGAACTGAAATCCACATGTAACTTATAACATAAATCAAGCATTTATGTATTTATTCTATTTACTGTAATATACTACTGATTTTTTAATTCTTTCCTGAGGATGATGGATATGAGAACTTTGAAAGCATTAGTAAAACTTGTGTTTTAATTTTGTTTTATTATATTTGTTAACATTGATAGAGTTAGTTGTCATTTATAATCTTTGTGCTGTTGAACGTCATCAGTTTCTATTTAAACTGATATTTTGTAGTGACACAAATCTGTATGTATTTGTGTGTCTACAAAATGTTTAGCTGAAATGAATTTCATATTAAAGATTTATTTAGATTTATCTTCATTAGTATTATATTTTATATTATTTATAGCATTAAAAAAGGCAAAAGTATTATATAATGTCTTCACATCATAGTATCAATTTTGCATGATTTTATTATCTGTCAGTTTAAATGTGTTGATGTGAAATATGTAGCAGTTGAGAAGTTGTTTTTCTTATTACTGATTATTAGGAACCAGATTTTTGTGTAAAATCATTTTTTTTTTCTTGAAAGATATTTCATGTAATAAGTATAAAAAACAAATTTTTGGTGTTTTAGGACCAGTAGGAGTTATAAAAGCATATAAAAGCCTATTTGAAAGGATAGAGCATATTTCTCACATTTTTCCATAACAACATAATTTTGAAATAAATTATATCAAAAATATAGAAAATATTTTATAAATGGTTTTTGTGCTAATTTTAAATTTGAAATTGAAAGTGACTCTATAACTTCACAGTCAATTTGCTGTTTTTACTTATATTGTAATTTGCATTATTATTAGTACATATTTATAGTTACTTTTATTACAGTTACTATAGTTTTCTGCCTACTAGTAAAATTTGTGTTTTGCATTGTAGACAGATTCCTTAAGCTTATATTATGGTTAAACCAAAGCCATGCTTACCAGCTAAATATAGGGCATATGTGGCTTAATCTGAGTGAATATTTTCCACATATAATTAGGTTCTATATTTACCCAGTAACAAGACCATTTTGTGTGAGAAACAGTCACAAGCTTTTTATCTGGCATCATTACACTGAAAAGGTAGGAAAAGAATTTCAAATGCTGACAGAAATAAATCAAAGTTACCATTTTTAACAGATTTATATGCCACTGTGATTAGTGCTGATATCTCTTAGTAAACTAAAGAACAAATAAATTAAAGTATTCCTACAGAAATGCCGTGCAAAAAAAATCATGCCTGGTGAATTGACTTTAAGGAAGGATAACTTGTCAGAGATGTTTGAGGAGTGCATTGAGTCAGTTCAAGACAGGCTCAAAGGAGAAAAATATTTGGTTAAGTGTTGATGAAATCACAATTTATATATGTTTATTTTTGTAGTTTTAATGATTTGTTTATCTTGTAAGATTTCATTTAACATTCATAGATCTTCCTTTCACAATTCTGTCCCAAATTTCAATTTCCATCTGACCATCATTAGTAACCTTTGTTCCTAAATATTTAAATTCATCACATTCTTTAATCAATTCAATTTTTTCATTTTCCTCCCAAACTAAATCACATATGTCTCCAGTTCCAATTACCATATAATTAGTTTTCTCCATATTTATATTTAGTCCCCAGTTATTGTATTCTTCTTTCAGCTTTCTTGTCATATATGTTAAATCATCATAATCATCAGCTATAACTAATTGATCATCTGCAAATAATAATGTATATACAGTATTATCACTGACCATTAGACCCATACCACTACATTTTCTCTTCCATATTTCCATAGCCATTTGAATATAAATTTTAAATAATGTTGGGGAAATACAGCAACTTTGGCATAAACCTTTAGTGACCAGAAATCCTTCAGATAATGTTGTTGCTATTTTAATTTTTTAATATTATTTACTAGTAGCCTGGGACGCCCCCTAGTGGGCGTTATTTACAAATTGCCATTACCCGTTGAATAGGTTAATAGATATTAAAATATTACCTTATATTACCTTAACTATTTCAATACTTACGGTCTTACGTAGTGATTCAAACCTATCCAGTTTTTTGTTATTCACCCCCTAGTGAACATTACATGCATTCCGTGACAATAATAAATTCCTATTACAAATATACTGAATTATTTATATTGTTATATTGACCAAATAATAATTTATTGGCCAAATGAATAATAATAATTTATATTGTTAATTTAAATAATAATTAAAATTGTTAATTTAATTTGAATGTTTGAAATATGACACACGATAGGTGCGCCTCTAGTGTCCGTTATCAAACGGTTACGGGACGGACGGACGGATACCTGTTGAATGGGTTATATATATAGATTAGCAAGGTTGAGGTCGAAGTTTTAAACGTGAAAACGTGTACGTCAGACGTTCAGCGCCACTTTCCTGTAAGCCTAGAAGTTTGACAATGGTGTTTGGATAATTGGTGGAATTATGCTTGACATTCCAAACACTATTGTCAAGACTCTAGGCTTACAGGAAGGCGGTGCTGAACGTCCGACGTACACGTTTTCGAGTTTAAAACTTCAGCCTCAACCTTGCTATTATTTTCCTGTTTATTGTTGTATTATCTAATACTTGCCATAATTTTTTAGTTGGTATACTATCGTATGCCTTTTCTAAGTCAAATAATAAATGTGGAGTTTGATTTTTAGCAACTTTTTTCTCAGTTATTTGTCTAACACAAAATATGATCAAGTGTGGATCTTCCACTCCTAAAATTTGCTTGTTTCTCATTTTCCATGTCTTTGTATTCCTCTTCTAGATAATGGTTTAATAATTTTTCATATAACCTGCTGAATGTACTGTACATGTAACAGTAATACCTCTGTAATTTTTACACTCTTCTTTTTTACCTTTTTTATGTATTGGTGACAGATATCCAACTTTCCAATCTTGTTGGTTAACTTCTTCATTTATACATTGTTCATTAAATTTTTGCAAATTCTAAATAATCTATCAGATCCACGCTTAATTAGCTCTACTGGTGCTAATTAAATCTTTAAAAATAATAAAGCTAGTGGCACCAATGACACTAGCTTTATTATTTTTAAAGATTTAATTATACTTTTAAAAAGTTTCATATCTATCTGAATATAGTCATCTTTCATATTGTCTTGTATGTCTCAATTCTCTGTGTTGTAAAAATTAAATCCATTCAATTTGTGCAATAAAGTCTTAATTTTCTAGCTGGAAGTGCTGTGAGACTGTCAACCAAAATGATTTTTAGATTAAAGTGACTAACTATATACGTAGTACAATCCAAAAGTTTGGGTACTTGGCTTAAAATTCCTTGCCTTAAAAAGTTTATATTGCCGATGCATATTGACTTTTAAAGTAATCACCTTGGGCAACAATACACTTCTGGAAGCACTGCTGGAAGCCATTTTTTGAAACCTCCTGTAAGGCCTCCTGCGATGCTGCTCTCACTGATCTGATGACACAAAACGGCGTCCCTGCAAATGTTTTTTCATTGATGGAAACAAATAAAAATCACACGGAGCTAAGTCCGGTGAATAGGCAGGGTGTGGAAGCAAATTAATTTGAGTTTTGGCGAGAAACTGTGTGACCATTTGGGGATGATGTGCAGGTGCGTTGTCATGCAGAAGATACCAGTCTCCACTTTGCCAGATCTGTGGCCATTTATGACGAATGGATTCCCTCAAACAACATAAAATGTCTACATAATGCTCCTTGTTTACTGTTTTGCCTTCGGGAATAAATTCTGAATGAACAATTCCTTGAGAATCAAAAAACACCTCCATTATGACTTTTCAGTTGCTCGGTACATGTTAATATCTTCCGTTAAAGTACACTGGCAACTAGTCTTTGATAAGTGAGTAGCAGTAGCAATTTTTTCAAGGGTTTGGCGACGATCTTTGCGAACACATTGAGAGACTAACTCAACATTTTTCTTGTTCCGTGAAGTCAAAGGTCGGCCAGAGCATTCATCATCTGCGATGGATTCTCGGCCCTCTTTAAAATGCTGATGCCATTTGTACACCTTTGATTTCATCATGGTAAAATTACCATACACCTTTCTTAGCAATTTTAAAGTCTCCGTAAGTGTTTTACCTAAACACTGACAAAATTTAATGTTTCAGCGCTGTTCTTGAAACTCCGTTTTTATTACGTTGCAAAACAAAGTTAACTATCTTCGAAAGAAAACAACAGTGCTCACAGTTTAATCACATGACATGGGCGAAACCAACCTGAACATGTAGGAAAGGTTTGATAGAATCAATTTCATACATTGTAACTTCAAATACATGCTTTTGTTGTCATACATTACTGCAGTCCTCGAACTTTTGGATCATACCACGTATATATATATATATACAGGGTGCATATGAAAGTCCCTTTAACCAGAAAATTCTTGCAAATGGAGAGAGCTACAGCTATGCAAGTGAGGTAACGGTAAAGTAAAGCGACTACACCCAACCTAATGCAAATGACAGCAGCGCCCCCAGTGGCGAAATTTGGAAGGTAGGCAGTGCAAATTGAAAACGAAAACAGATAAAGCAAACCTTCCAATTAGAAAGTTTTAGAGCATCAATTAATTAGTATGAAAAGACGTGTGGTTCACACGGATAAGATAAATTGTCGCATGTTTATCCAAAAATGTCCGAAAGTGATGCACGCCATTTTGTGTAAACATTTGAAAAGAATAGCCATAGGTATGAAGAAATGCTCACAATTTACTGCATAAAATACATACTTATGTCAATACAGTTTGGTAACAATGGCGT